CATTGTCCCCTGGGGGCGGGTCCCAGCCTCTTCCGGAGCTAAGCCCGGCCCCTGCGCGCTGCCCCCTCCTCTCTCCGCAGTACTCGCCAGGGATGACCATGAGCGTGTGATGGGGCGGCAGCCCCGGGCCTCTGCGGGCCTAGGCTTCTGCCCAGCGCCCCTGCTCAGGGCGAGGGGCTGAGGTCACACCTCGGGCACCTGGACTCCTGGCCAATCAAGGCTTACCCAGCTGGGAGGCCCCACATGAAAGACTTTTATCATTTTATTAAAAACGCAAGGACCTCAGAGACGTTCTTTTCTGTATGGACCCTTCCTGCCATTTGTATTTTGTTCCAGAAAGAAGGGCTCTTTGGGGGGGGTCCCCTCTCCCCAGGACGTCAGGGGGTGGGCCCCATCAATAAATGGAACCTGGTTTTGGTTTTTGGTAGCGTGTCTGATTCCCTCTTTGGTCTTCGACCACCACGCTGTCCACCTTGTGGTCTTGTTTCCCACCCCACCCCCCATCTAGCCCCACATTCGACTGAGGCTGTGGGTTCTGGGCTCTCCCTGGGAGTTGGGGTGGCAACCATGGGCAGAAGGATTGGGACGGGAAGCTGGGCGCTCAGAGTTGGGGAAGTAGAGGAAGGCAGAGCCAGGTGCCAGGCCCCAAGAACCCCAGGTGGAAGGACAGCTGAGAGTGGCAGCGGCTTTATTGTCTTTGGGGCAGCCTGGAAAGGTGGGGTCCTGGGGGACAGCGGGGAGGAAGGGCTGGGAAGCTGTGTGACAGGGGCCTCAGGTGGTGGGCATCTGGGGTTCCTCCACTTGTGGGTGCCCATTGGCATCACCGGTGCAGCCGTTGGTGGAAGCGGGTCCTTTCTTGTTTGTCACAGGGCAGGCGGCAGCCAGGGGTTCGACTTGCTTGAGGCTGGGCCCTGGGCACTCCATCTTACGCTCCAGGAGCATGTGGTTCTGCGGCTGGAGCCCCAGGCGGGCCCTGAGGATGTTCTCGGTGCAGCTGCACTGGCCGAAAAGCGCATTGATCGGCAGGCTGCCCGGCGGCACTGGCGGCACCTTGAAGAGGAAGCTGAGCAGGGACAGTACGGGGTGGAAGGTCTGCAGCTCGGGGTCGGCGTCAGTGCAGAAGCTCACGCGCTGGCACAGCTCTGTCAGCAGCGCCAGGTCTAGCATGCTGGGTGCGGCCAGCAGGGAGTCCCCGCACGTGCTGTGCAGCACCAGTGTGTTGGTCCCGCCCAGCATTAGCTCCGAGGTATACTCAGCCAGCTCACGCTTGCTGTTGCCCACATACGGCACTTACCAGTGGTCCGGCTCCTAGCCGGGCGTATAGAGCACTGGGTCGCTCTGCACCATGTAGTCCACCACGTTGCTCCTGGACACATCCTTAGAGCGGAACTGCAACGGCGCCACTGGCCCGTCGTTGTTGCCCAGTGTTTGTAACTCACGATGGGCATGGTCTTGAGGCCAGAGCTGATAAGGAAGACCACGAGCACGGACTTGACTTTGGTCTGGCCAGACTTGAAGTCATCTCCACTCATGAAAACCCGGCGCTGACAGGCGAGCTCAAGAGCTCCAGGCACCAGGGTGTTCTGCGGGGACCCACTGAGGAAGGCACAGCCCTCCAGGATGCCGGCAACGGCGAAAAGCGTGGAGGGAGACACCTCCAGGCCAAGCTCAATGGTGTGCAGCAGGTTCTTGGCCGTGTCGTTGAGGCCTGGAACCACCTCACAGAAGCGCTCTGTGTTGGCCGTCCACAGCACGATGACTTTGTGCAGTCCCGCCCTAGAGGGGAAATCTCGGATGCCCTTGTGGATCTGCTCCAGCTGCTGCGTGCGCCAGCCGGGTATGAGGTTGTCCGCGCGCATGCTCTGGTTGGCCGTGATGAACTCAGGGATGTAGACGGAAGGCCGAGGCCGCAGGGCTTCCATGTGCGGCCACAGTTGCTCCTGCAGCTCCCAAACCTGCACCTTTGCGCGCTGCATCGCCTCGGATAGGTTCAGCGACGAGATGTCCCAGCCATCAAACACGAGGTCGTTGGGCCCCACCATGGGCAGCAGGGCACTGAAGGGCATGAACACCTCCTGGCCCTCGGCGTCCAATCCCAGGCTCACGGTGCCCACCTGAGTCAGTGAGCCGTAGTAGTTGGCCTCCTTGCGGCCGCTGCGCGTGGGCCAGTACAGACGCAGTCGGTTGGCCAGCACCGAGGCCGTGAGCGTGGAGCCGTTGTTCCCGCCCCAGCCGACAAGCATGACCTCGAGCAGGAGCACCTGCCGGGCGGTCCGGAAGGTGAAGCGGGTGGTCGTGGGGTGTACCTTGAGGACGCCGCCCTCGCGGCTGACACGTGTCGTCCGGTACTCGTATTGCGCCTCGATAGCCTCGGGGACGTAGACCACGTCCCGGCTCTCGATGACTAACTGGGCGGCGGCCTTCATCGCAGCTGGTGGCGCAGAGTCGGCTCAGGCAGCGGCAGCTGACAGCGCGCCCAAGTCAACAACTTCTGACCTTCCAGTTATGCTAAACCAACTGGAATCAAAGGTGAGAGACAGGCGGGGTACAGTGGCTCATGCCTATAATCCCAGCACCTTGTGAGGTGGGGACAGGAGGATCTCTTAAGCCCAGGAGTTTGAGACCAATTTGGGCAACACAGCAAGAGCCCATCTTATTTCAAATTTTAAAAATTAAAAAAAAAAATTTTTTTTAAGATGGAAGATATTCTCTCAAAAGTCCAGAAAAATTATGTGGGAAAACCACTCTGCCGAAAATTAAATTTCACACAAGCAGAACAACTAGAAAGAGTCAATGATGCTCTTTCCTGTGAACATAAGAGCTTCCCACGAATGTTAATGAAACAATTAGAAGGGGCAGTACAGTCCTTTGGATGGTGTGATACAGCAAAAGTAAGAATAGATGACAGAGCAAGAATTTACTTGTGTTATGCTTTGTCACCCAAGACAGCAATTACAATAGTGCGTCTACTTGCTACTCATGAAGATCCATCCGAGATCACTAGGACAAACAGTGGAGCCAGCTGGAACAAGACAGCATGTGCCATCAGTAAGGGGCTGATAGGAAGAGTGCCTGCCTGACAGGGGAGGCTGGCCAAATGAAATTGAACCACCACCTTCTGAAATGCCCCCTTGGCAAAAGAGACAAGAAGGCAGTGGCAAAAGGGGTGGTTGCAGTAGTGGTGGGGATGGAGGTAGAAGAGGCTGTGGGGCTGGAGGTGGAAGAGGTGGCTGGGGGTGGAGGATGGGGAAATGGTGGGAAAGAGGGAGGAGGTAGTGAGGAGGAGGTGGGGTGGAGTTGGTAGAGGAGGTTTCCAAGGCAGAGGAGATGATGGTGGGAGAGGAGATTATGGTGGAAGAGATTATGGAGATCCATATGGAGGAGGTGGTGATGGTGGTGGATACAGGAGATACTGAAGACTACAAAAATTAAAAACCAAAACCAACAAGCTTCAAGGGCAAAGGAGCAGTCTGTCCTCTTGTATCACAAGCACTCACTAACCACTGTTGTATCTGAGCAAGTTGGAAGGAAAGCGTCACATCTGTGTTCCAACTGTGAGTCCTTTATTGCTGGCCACCAAAAGTCAGCTCACACTCAAAATCTCTCGGTCCTGATGAAGGGGTGAAATTTCCTGTTATATGTTGCTCAGGGTAAGGGGGGCAAAGTGGAATTTTACAGAAGCAGAATAAGCAAGTTAGGGGAGGACGCCCCCGTGATTGTTGATTAACTAAGGAGGGTATACACAAGCCGTTCCCATGATTGCTGGTTACCAAGGGGGGCATTTGGTACTTTCCATATAATCAACCAAGGAGATATTCACAATAGCAAGTGGGCTTGTCAAGCAAGGGTTATATCTTTCTATAGTTCTAAGCACAACATGACCCAGCACCGTGTAACTCAGGTATACACTCAAGGGAGGAATGGCAGGGGGAGAAGCCAAGATGGAGCCAGTCAGGCTCACCTCTAAGATGGAGTTGGTTTGGTTCACCTCACCACCTCTGCCCTTTCTCAACCATTAATCATTCAGACAAGATTTCCTTGTTTACCTCCTCCTATAAAAATGTGAAGTCTCTTTCCTTCTTCTTTGAGGAGATTCCTCTGCATTAATGGATGGTGTCCTTACTGCAATAGTGTGAAAAAAAAAAAAGTCTCCTTATGCAGTTTAGCAATTTTCAACGCTTGACACCAGTGACTCCATCTTGGGCTATTGACTCCATGCTCAGCTGCTGCTAAACTTTGAGACCCACAAAGAAATCGTGAAAATTATTTCCTTCAAAACAACCATTTTCTCAACAACACACAGCCCAAGAAAACTGGTCCCAATATTTTTTTCCAAGACAGGGTATTACTCTGCCACCTACGCTGAAGTTCAGGAGCTCAATCTTGGCTCACTGCAACCTCTGCCTCCCAAGCTCAAGTGATCCTCCCACCTCAGCCTCTCAAGTAGCTGGGACTGCAGGTGCATGCCACCACTCCTGGCTAATTTTTTTTGTTTGTTGTAGAATATTTTTTGTAGAGACAGGGTTCACCATCTTGGCCAGTCTGGTCTCGAACTGCTGGCCTCAAGTGATCCACCCTCCTCAGCCTCCCAAAGTACTGGGATTACGGGCATAAGCCACCATGCCTGACTCCCGATCTTTTTTGTGTGTGAGACAGAGTCTCTCTGTGGCCCATGCTGGAGTACAGTGGGGCAATCTTGGCTCACTGCAACCTCCGCCTCCCAGGTTCAAGCTATTATCCTGCCTCAGCCTCCCCAGTAGCTGGAAACTATAGGCATCCACCACCATGACCGGCTAATTTTTGCTTTATTTATTTATTATTTTTTTGGCAATTTTTGTTTTTTTAGTAGAGACAGGGTTTCACCATGTTGAGCAGCCTGGTCTTGAACTCATGACTTAAAGTGATTCACCCACCTCAGCCTCCCAAAGTGCCGGGATTACAGGCCTGAGCCACCACGCCTGGCCCCAGAATATTCTTAAAGATTGGGGGTGACCAGGCACGGTAATCCCAGCACCTTGGGAGGCCGAGGCAGGCAGATCACAAGCTCAGGGGATCAAGACCATCCTGGCCAACATGGTGAAACCCTGTCTCTACTAAAAACACACAAAAAATTAGCGGGATGTGGTGGTGCCCGCCTGTAGTCCCAGCTACTGGGGAGGCTGAGGCAGGAGAATTGCTTGAACCCAAGAGATGGAGATTGCAGTGATCCGAGACGGTGCCACTGCCCTACAGCCTGGGCGGTGGTGCAAGACTCTCTCTCTAAAAAAAAAAAAAAGAATATTCTGTATGTAGTTTGTTTTGTTTCTGATAGATGCAAATGCACCCTTCTAATGATTAAAGACTTCTTTGTTTAATCTACCAATGAAATAATCTGACAATTTATGTTACAAATAAATTCCCATAAACATAAGCTCCCCTGCCCCTCTCTGGTGGCACAATCTCTGATTTGCTATCCTGGCTGCAACCCTCATTGCTAAGTAAACGCTTATGTAAAGCTTAATAATGAGATTCGGGCAATATGAATAAATATTGGGTTATTTGGGTGCAAAGTTTGAGGATGGCGACCTAGTAGGACACAGACTCCAAAAGATGGGGGTCAGTGCTTCGAAATGGAGAAGTTTGAGGGTCGTTTATATAGGCAAGGTCTGGGAAGCTTAACAGGATATCAACATTTTTCATAGAAGATTAACGCATAGTTAAGGGCAATTTGATTGGTTTTAGGCGTGTTTCTTTTTGGGAAGGGTCTATTTAACATTCCACATTAAGGATGTAATAGTGAAGGGGTGGTTTATCTTATTCAAGGCGCATTTTATCTCAAATGCCATCTGGTCTGAGCTGGAAACAAGAAAATAAGGGAGTTAATCCATAACAAAAGGTCGGCAATTAAGAGGTCGTGCTTTGTGGTCTCCAAAGTCAGCCTTCCTCAGGGACTTTCAGAATCCCCAAATAGACTATCCACTTTCTTTCACACTTATTTGCCTCTGACCTGTTGATTCCTTTTTTTCTTTTTCTTTTTCTTTTTATTAAGGGTTAACAATCTCTTGAGTGCACGCTGACTTTCTTCCATGCGCTTCACAGAAAAAATTGGTCCTGAGGCCAGCAGCAACAGCAAGTCTCAGGAACTTGTTCGAAATGCAAATTTTCAGCCCCACCCCAAATCTACTGAGTCAGCAGTTTTGCAGGTGCTTCTCAATCCCTCTTTAACATGCCCTCTGGGTGATTCAGGTGCACGTGAAAGATAGATCTCTGCGCGAGATTACCGCGCCGAGCAGGTAAAAGCGTTCTGCAAGCTCGGGTGTTATCAGCGGGCCGGGCCCGCGGCTTCTCTGGGTGGCACTAGGACCGCGGCGGCCCGGCCCTCGCAGCCACCGCCTCCGGCGCGAGGCGGAGCTCAGCTGTTCCTGGATCCCGGGCCTGGCTCCTCGACCCGCCCCTGGAGGCGGACCCCACTTGACTTAAACTCTGGGGCCCGGGAGGCCGCCGGCTTTCTCCCTGCTTGGCGGGGTGGTCCTCTCCTCTGCTCGGTAAGTGTGAGGCGAGCACCCCGAGGTCCCCTCTTCGCCTTCTGGGACCCGGGCGGGGCGGGGGCCGGGAGCCCGAGGCGCTCGGGGCTGGGGCTGGCGCGCGGCGCAGAGCGCTTTTGTTCTGCAGCTAGGACGCAGCCGCGGCGGCCCCGGAAGCCGGGCCTCGGGCCCCGCAGGCTCGCGCGCCCGGCCGTCCACAGCCCGGAGCTGGGCCGGGCCGCCGCGCTAGCTTCTGTCCGCCGCGCCGGGGCCAGCCTTGGGCCTCCGCGGACGCCGAGCCTTGCACTGGAGGGCGGGCCTCGCTGGCTGTTCCCTCATTTCCTGGCTCTGCGCGGTAGAGGTCGCGAGCGGCGAGGGCGAAGACGCGTTTTGTTGAACTGCGAAGCGGTTGGTTAGGCGGGTGGGTGTGAGAGCTGCTTATGTTTTTAAGGCTTTCCTGTCGCTGGAGTGAAAAAAAAAAAATCTTTGTTTTGCTATTTCCGAGCGTTCTCCTCCCCGACCCTCTTAAGCCGAAGCCTCTTGGAAAGGAATTGCTCTGCTCGCATCTCAAGTGGTCCGCGAACGCTTCTGTGCCGGAGATGCTTTCTGTTCCTCAGCAAGAGTTAGTTCCTTCAGGCATTTTTAAATGCACAAACGCATACCCATCTTAGGTGTTCTCGAGGGACACGGATTCCCTAAGCAGACATCCTTAGGGTCCTGAGTTTGGCAGCAAACTTTCGGGGAATCATTTCCGTGAAAACAGTTTATTTGTAGTCCATCGAGTGCAGACCGTCTTAAGACAGGCATGTGTATGAGCTTGAGGCGCATTTTTATTTTGCGGGGAGGGGAGTCGGGTGCATCTCAATAGGCGGCTCTCAGAGCTTGTGTGGGGATTGTCTTTTTCTGCTAAATATGTTAGCGTT